CTGAGGGTGCTGCTGTTGCGGGTCCCGGAGGTGCTCGTACTGGGAGTACTGGAGCTGCTGGGCCTGCGGGTTCGACTGGAGCTGGTGCTGCTGAGGGTGTTGTCGCTGAGACTACCACTGGCGGTCCTGCTGGGGGTGCTCCTGGTGTTGCTCGAGGTTCTGGAGCTACTGGAGGTGCTGCTGGAGCGGGTGCTCCTGCTGGGGGTACTGGTGCTGTCCCTGCTGTTTCTGGCGTAGCTACGCGGCCTCGACCGTACTTCGTTCCACTCCTGCAGCAGGTTCTTGGTCTTCCGCCCTCTCCTGGTCCTCCTCCTCTCTTGGAGGGTCCACAGCCTGTCCCGTCGCGGTCACTGCTACAGCCTACCTCCCCTTTGCCTGCTCCTTCTCCCTACACTGGTCCTACTGGAGGTCTTACTGAGCGTCGTGAGCCTGCGTCTCGCCCTGCGTCGCCTGTCCGTGCTGCTCGCGCTAGTGGTCGTGGTTCGCGTCAGCGTCCTCCTCCTGTCCCTGGCACGCACAGGATGTCTCTGCGTCCGTCTACTGCTCCTCTGCGTGCCCCTTTGCCTTCTCCTCCTGAGTCCTCTCTTCCTGCTCTTCCCGACCCTGCGTCGGACTCTCTTCGTGCTGCCAGTCCTACTGTCACGCGTCTCCTTGCTACTGTCGTCACTGACCCTTCCTTCGAGTCTACTGCTGCGTCTGCCCTAGTTACTGAGCTCGTCGACTTTGCTGCTCGCTGTCGCCTAGACTACGCTGCTAGTCTTGTCGCTGAGTCTGGGTCTGCCTGTCCTCCGTCCGTCGGGGGTGAGTGTGCCCTTGGCACGGACGTCCTTGAGGACAGGCAGGAGGAGTTCCAGTGTCTGGCAGCTACTTCACCTCATCTCGTGTCCGTACTGCTTACCCCTGAGGGAGACCCGGATGCACTTGACATCCCGACTCCGCGCTCTTACGCGGAGGCGATAGAGGGTCCCTACTCCTCTCAGTGGCAGGCAGCTATGGATGCAGAGATGGCTTCCTGGAAGTCCACAGGCACCTACGTTGACGCTGTCCCCCCTCTTGGGGCGAACATCGTCAGTGGCATGTGGATCTTCAGGGTGAAGCGGCCGCCGGGTTCTCCGCCTGTCTTCAAGGCACGTTACGTGGCTCGTGGCTTCAGTCAGCGACAGGGAGTTGACTACTTTCAGACCTTCTCCCCCACCCCGAAGATGACCACTCTTCGGGTGCTGCTACACGTTGCTGCTCACCGTGACTACGAGCTGCACTCTCTCGACTTCAGCACTGCTTTCTTGCAGGGCAGCCTGCACGAGGAGATCTGGCTGCGCCGCCCACTTGGCTTCACTGGGTCTTTCCCTCCTGGTACCCAGTGGAGTCTCCGGCGTCCAGTCTACGGTCTCCGCCAGGCGCCACGTGAGTGGCACGACACACTGAGGACTACGCTTGCGGCTCTTGGGTTTGCTCCTTCTACTGCCGACCCGTCGCTGTTTCTACGCACCGACACCTCTCTGCCGCCGTTCTACATCCTCGTGTACGTCGACGACTTGGTCTTTGCCACAGCTGACACTGCTGGACTCGCCCACGTGAAGTCCGAGCTGCAGAAGAGACACACGTGCACAGACCTGGGTGAACTGCGCAGCTACCTTGGCTTGCAGATCACCCGGGACAGAGCACGCCGCACCATTACCCTGACTCAGTCACACATGGTGCAGCAGGTCCTTCAGCGCTTCGGCTTCACGTACTCCTCGCCTCAGGCCACTCCTCTGCCTACTCGCCACTCACTCTCAGCTCTGCCTTCGGATGAGTCAGTAGAGTCGAGTGGCCCGTATCCAGAGCTTGTTGGCTGCCTCATGTACCTGATGACCTGCACACGACCTGACCTTGCATACCCTCTTAGCATTCTTGCACGCTATGTTGCTCCTGGGAGACACCGACCAGAGCACATGGCTGCAGCGAAGAGGGTGTTGCGATACTTGTGCAGTACGTCGGGCATGGGACTAGTGCTTGGAGGGCGGAGTCCAGTGGTCCTCACTGGGCACGCGGACGCTTCTTGGGCTGACGACCAGGCTACGCAGCGGTCGTCGCAGGGTTACACCTTCAGTCTTGGTTCCGGCTCTGTCTCGTGGCGAGCTACTCGCTCGTCCTCTGTTCTCGGCTCCAGTTGTGAGGCTGAGATCTACGCCGGGGCCATGGCTGCACAGGAGCTTCGCTGGCTCACCTACCTGCTGACTGACCTTGGAGAGCCGCCTCGTTCTCCTCCAGTGCTGTACGTAGACAACAAGGCCATGCTGGCCTTGTGTCGAGAGCAGCGCTTGGAGCACAGAACGAAGCACATTGCTCTCCGTTACTTTCTTGCTCGTGAGCTGCAGCAGCGTGGTCAGTTGCGACTTGCGTACGTGGCCTCTCAGGCCAACACTGCTGATGTGTTCACCAAGGCACTTGCGCCTTGTGACCATCAGCGCTTCTGCACTCAGCTGGGTCTTGTACCTGTCTTGCCTCACTTGCTCTCCTCTTGACCTTACTTGTACTGTCACATATATATACCTGCTCTTGCTTGTCTAGCTCTATATATATATGTGTACTCCTGCATGTGAACTGGCCTTGTGGCCTTGTCGTTGTGCTCGGACTGTGTGGTGACGTTGTGATCCACCCTGAGCTTGCTCTGCTTTGCTTGACTGGTCTTGTGACCCCTTGTTCTCCCCCACTTTGCCTATGGGGGTGTGTCAGAACATTATATAGCTTATGCTGTTGTGTAGGCTATAGTGGGGTATCCCATAGGGGGTACAACCTAATTAGGGTTTTCCATATGTACTCACCTCATTCATAGTTCATTCATCCTCGTTCTTCATTCTTCTCACATTGTTGCATTGTAACACTTTTTGAAGCATCCGCATCACACTTCATACCCTGTTCGTTTGTACAAGTGCATCCGTTTATGTTGATGCCATGTTCGATCGAACCATCCGCCGTATTTATCGACGAGCTGGGACGGTCGGAACAAATTGGTTTCAAAATGATGTGTAATTGGTTTCACTTTTGGGATCTCATTCACGAGTGATTTTTATTCACTATTGGAGGCGTTCTCTTGAACACGGTGGCAAAAAAATTGTTCAAGCGGGTGCTCCAAAGAGTGCTTTAAAAATCACTTTTGAAATGATATCCCCAAAAAGTGAAACTGATTATATAGGGTTGCTACGCAACCCAAAAATAGAGAAAGCTGAGATATATATATATATATATATATATTGGGAAAGTTATACTGTAACGCGTTGTCCTCTGCACCGTCACTCCTTCCCAATCCCCCCAACCAACCACTGGTCAGCCAAGTCTACAATTTCATCGTGGCTTTGGTTCAAACAACGCCGACACTGCTATGCGGTGCAGAGCGATCTGCGCATCTTCAGGGCGCTTCTGTGGTTTTTAAAACGACGTCGTTTGGTGATTGAAGTGATTGACGCGGCCGAGCTTTAATCTTCACCAAGTTTTATGCAACACCACACCAACCAACCTTCCCATTCCCTTTGTTTCACTCAGCGCCATGGCACAAGCTGGCCAATTTCACCCATCACACTCCACGTCGCAAGACTCCCATCGTGAAAGAGGAAGACAAAGGCGAGAACAAGGTTCTATCTTTTAGCATTTCGTGTGTCGCACACGTGATTACCGTCATCGCCCGGATATAAGACATATATGTCTTATCTCGTACACGGGCAAAATTGCTTGAGTTATCTCGTAAACGGGATGGTTTAGGGTGTCTTATAATTCTTATAAATGGAAAAAAAATTAAGTTGACTGTAACACTTGCAAAGTGTGGAGAAAACACCCAGGGACTAGATTCATTGAAACAGGCCGACCTCGGTGGTGATGCAGCAAAGCTGCCACCGTTGGCAAGATTCCTCTGTGCTGGCAGCATCTAATGATGCTGCCAGCGTCGTTTTGCTGCCAGCAGCGCATGGCATCTTCCAGAACGCTGCTGGCAGCTCGTTGGCAGCGTCAGGCTGTCCTCTACGAGGAGATGCCTCGTAGAGGAGCGGCTCGGCACCTGTGGATGGGGCACTCTGGCTGGGGGGGGTAGTCGGGCTTTCACTTCATTTGGTGCTCATGGAGGTTGAATTCTCACCTCAACCTTGCTCTCGGCAGGCTCTCTAACCATGCGCAGCAAGGTACCCCTAGGCAAGTCCTCACCTCGTCCTCACGTGCAGGTGAATAACTACGGGCGAATTAACTCGCCCGGCGATGACATCCGCGTAGCCATGGCGAAGAACGCGAGCAAGGCGGGAAGTCCTACCGCCGCCTCCGGTGCGAGCTGTGACGGGGAAGACGGAGACGAAGCACACGGCGACGACGCCGAGGAGGATTGGCCGGAGAACGGCCACGATGACAGCGCTTCGGGCGACGAATTTGGTACTGCCGACATCGAGGAGGACGAATGGTAGTATCAGCCGCTCAGGAGCGACGACGAGGTGGAAGAGTGGCGGGCTGGTGATTCCGACAACGACGGAGGTGAAGATGCTGGCGGTGACAACGCGGAGGCACAGGAAGCGGCGGTGGATGCGAATGAGGCTGCCGGTCGTACCGCACGCACAGCATCACCCCTGCAGTCATTCCAGCGGGTTGTACGAGCCAGATTCAACCCCTGGACGTCTCCATCAACCGGTGCTTCAAGGCTGCCGTGCGAGCGCGCTACGCCAGGTGGTTCATGCGTGAAGGGATTCACTTGAAGACGAAGAAGGGTGAGTTGGCTGTTCATTTTAAATTCCTGCTCTGTTTCGTGTCCTTATCGTTAACATCTCGCTGCCGTGTCCTCTGTCCCACCCGCAGGGAACCTGCGGAGGCCTCCGCACCCCGTGGTGCTGCAATGGATCGCGGAGGCTTGGGATCAAGTCCCCAGGCAGATCATCATCGACGCGTTCCGCCACTGTGGGATCTCCAGCAAGCTGGACGGAACGGAGAACCACCAAGTGATGTCTCACCTGCGCGTCAGGAGCACCACCGATGTCTCCGAGGACATGTCCCTCGGGGGGACCACAGGCGACAACACGCGCCTGCTTCGGAAGGCTCCAGAGGAGGAGGAGGAGGAGGAGGAGGAGGAGGAGGAGGAGGAGGAGGAGGAGGAGGAGGAGGAGGAGGAGGAGGAGGAGGCGATGCAGGCGGAGGGCGTGCGGGAGGTGGCCGTGGCAACTGGCCTGGAGGTGCTGTACCAGGAGACCCCCAACTACCGCGGAGCGGCAGCCGAGGCTGACCGCATGATCGAGCCAAGGGAGACGTCTAGGCATGCCTGGCGAGTGCCAGATCTGGGCGTAGAGCCTGTTGCTAGTGCTGCAGAGGAGGCGGTTACTGAGGGGGGTTAGGTAGAAGTAGGGATTCATGAATGTATGGATGTACCCCCCTAAAGTAGTGTAGGCTCGTTTAGAAGACACCCCCTGTTTATAAGAAAACCCCTAAACCCCGGTTCTGATTATGACATATATGTCTTATCTCGTACACACAAATAGGTGTCGTATAAAAAGGCTAGCCTGTTTATAAGAGACACCCGTATAGTAGACAACCCCTGTCTACTATTCAACACTGTCTTATATCCGGGCGATGACGGTAGTACAATTTCGCGTTACAGTCGTCACAGATAGTACTTGCTGCTCAAGGCTCGATCCCCCACCCTGCATCGCGCACACGCAGCGGCTCACGAGCACGCAATATAGCAACGAACCTGTTCGCCGCACTACGGGTCACGCGCGTTCGGGTACGTGCAAGGCATCACACAGGCAACACGCGCGCGGGGATCATCGATGGGGCCGCTTTGCGCCGCGGCGACGGGTAGGCGCGGCGACGTTACGATGGTGGCGAGAGCGGCGGTGGTGGCGCTGGTGGTGGCGCGCTGCTGCATGCCCCTCGCACGCGCTGCTCCCGTCGTGGACGCCGAGAGTAAGCCTCTATAGGCTGCCAGTAAGCCGTGCTGACAGTAAGCCGTGCTGCCAGTAAGCCGTGCTGACATTAAGCCGTGCTGCCGAGAGTAAGCCGTTAAGCCGAGAGTAAGCCGTTAAGACGAGAGTAAGCCGTTAAGCCGAGAGTAAGCCGTTAAGCCAAGAGTAAGCCGTTAAGCCGAAAGTAAGCCGTTAAGCCGAGAGTAAGCCTTTAAGCCGAGAGTCAGCCGTTGAACCGAGAGTAGCCGTGGTGACTAAGCCATGGTGACAGTAAGCCATGGTGACAGTTGTCAAAATCAACGAGAGAAATGAAGAAGAGGGATGGTGTTCACTATAGCACTAGGGTACATATAGCAAACAGAGCATGCAAAGAAGGTGCACCACCAACAGTTTATAATAACTACACTAAACTACAGCTACAGGCAGTTACAGATATATTCTAACACTCCCCCATAACTGCCTGCAGCAGGAGTTTGTGCAGAACACAACCTGCAGGGGTACACAAGAAACAGCAACAACAGACAAGGTAACAGAGCAGGTACATCAGCAAAGGGGGCAGGCACTCCTGCCACCCCTTTACTCTCCTCCCCCCCCAACCACAGGAGGGGCAGCAGGGAGAGAGAGGAGGCGGGCTGGCTCTGGCTGGTCACCCCCTCCATCCCCTCACCCTCCCCCTCCCCCTCCCCCCCACACTGCTGCAGGAGCAGTAGAGGGGGGAAGAGAGGAGAGGTGGCGGGACGGCTGCTGGTTGGTCTCACACCCGCCACCCCAGTGCCACTCCCCCGGCTCCCCCACACCCTCACATCCTCCCCCCCAGCGGCAGCTGCAGCAGTGGGAACGAAAGGAGGAGGAGGGGAAGGGGAGACCACACACCCGCCACCCCAATGCCACTCCCCTGGCTCCCCCACACCCTCACACCCTCCCCCCAAGTGGCAGCTGCAGCAATGGGAACGAAAGGAGGAGGAGGGGAAGGGGAGACCACACACCCGCCACCCCCACACCCGCCACCCCCTACTCGCCACCCCCAAACCCTAACACAGGGCAGGGCGAGATGGCGGGTAGGGAGGTTACAGGGGGGGGGGGAGGGGGGGGGGCCGACGCGCGGCCTCCCAGGGCGCCAAAGCAGGCGGCAGAAGGGGCGACGCTCGCCCCCCCCCCCCCCCGCGGCCCCCTCAGGTCGCCTCGACAGGCGACGGGAAAAGAGGGGGGGGCGGTGCACGTGCCCCCGGTGCGCCACGACAGGCGACGGAGCATGGCCGGGGCGGGGCCGGGGCAGGGTCGAGGCAGGGCCGAAAGGGGCAGCGACGGGGCCGAAAGGGGCGGCGACGGGGCCGCTGGAGGCGGCGACGGGGCCGATAGGGGCGGCGACGGGGCCGCGAAGGGGCCGCGAGGGGCATGGAAGGGTGGCGACAGGCCGCTAGGGGCGGCGACGGGGCCGCCAGGGGCGGCGACGGGGCCTCCAGGGGCGGCGACGGGACCGCGAAGGGGCCGCGAGGGGCCTGGAAGGGCGGCTACGGGCCGGTAGGGGGCGGCGACGGGGCCGCGAAGGGGGCCGCGAGGGGCCTGAAAGGTCGGCGCCGGGGCCGGTAGGGGCGGCGACGGGGCCGCAAGGGGCGGCGACGGGGCCGCTGGAGGCGACGACGGGGCCGATAGGGGCGGCGACGGGGCCGCGAAGGGGCCGCGAGGGGCCTGGAAGGGCGGCGACGGGCCGGTAGGGGCGGCGACGGGGCCGCGAAGGGGGCCGCGAGGGGCCTGAAAGGTCGGCGACGGGGCCGCGAGGGGTGGCGACGGGGCCGCTAAGGGTCGCGCGAGGGGCACGCCACGGGGCGTGCAGTACACAGAGTAGCAGCGGAAGCAATTAGGTGGGCCCACAGGCCAGGAGCGTAGTTGCTCTGATAGCATGTCAAAATCAATGAGAGAAATGAAGAAGAGGGATGGTGTTCACTATAGCACTAGGGTACATATAGCAAACAGAGCATGCAAAGAAGGTGCACCACCAACAGTTTATAATAACTACACTAAACTACAGCTACAGGCAGTTACAGATATATTCTAACAACACTAAGCCGTGGTGACATTAAGCCGTGGTGACATTAAGCCATGGTGACATAAGGGCGTGTGTCCTTGGCGGGCTGAGCTCGGAAACGAGTTCGAACTTTTGATGGTAACTTGTTTCGTTAATCTCGCCATGCTGGGTTGCGATTTTCGTTAAAACGGGTAAGAAAGATGGAACCAAACATGGACACTGAACTAGAGTCGAATTTCCGTTCGAACGTACGCCCGCGCATTCATGCAAACGTGTGTCCTTCTGCCCACGTTTGCAGTTGCAACGAAACTGGCGACACTGACGAATAACATCGTGCGCGCTATCGAATCATACGCAGCTTTCACGGTGCGCCATCGAATCAGACGTGGCGCACGGTCAAGATGGCAAACAGGGTAACCTACGAGTCGTATGCGCGACGCGAGCTAGGTTGTAGAAGTCGACTTTTGATGGTCGACCCTTCGATGTGACATGTGATTGCCTTGAAAGGTGACTCGCGGCTAGACCATTGGTGGTTGTAAAATTCGACTACAGTTCGAACCAAGTTCAAAGTGAGAAAAGTCGAGTTTAAAAAGCAAACTTTACAAAAGTTGCCGAAGGACACACGCCCTAAAGCCGTGGTGACATTAAGCCGTGGTGACATTAAGCTGTGGTGACATTTAAGCCGTGGTGACATGAAGTCGTGGTGACATTAAGCCGTGGTGTCATCAAGCCGTGGTGACATTAAGCCGTGGTGACATCAAGCCATGGTGACATTAACCCGTGGTGACATTAAGCCGTGGTGAATGCTGACAGAAATGTGCTGGACCCACTTTTTTCATGATGAACTTCGGACCAGCAACCACCCTTCAGTGCTGGTTGCAGCTCCCCTCCTGCCACACACACCTTAATCCCTCTTCCCTCTCCCTGTTCCTCTCGCCCCTCGGTTGGAAAGTTGTAACACCCTCTTGTGGCATGGCATGTTGCCTTGCTGGGGTGGTACGGCGTGGATGGTATGGTATGGCATGGGTGGGATGGCAGTGGAAGCACTGGAGAATCTAGCGCACGAATGGATTGACGTCAAGGGAACGAGCACGTGGAAGAGCGGCAGGGACTGTGACAGCATGGATGGCGTGCGATGTGATGGCGATGGGCATGTCATTGCAATGTAAGCATGTCATTGCACTGTAAGCATGTCATTGCACTGTAAGCATATCATTGCACTGTAAGCATGTCATTGCATGCACTGTAAGCATGTCATTGCACAGTGAGCGAGGTGCAAAATTTCGGCAAAGTAAAATACGCTCCGTTTTTTACGCTTGTATTTTACGGTCAGATTTCAAAATTTCTGCCGTTTTTTTGTTAGAGAATTTTGTGATTTTTTTTTTTTTTTTTTTGAAAACTGTAGAAGCGACTCCACTCCTGACCAGGATAGCAAAGAAGCAATACAATGCTAGCAAAGTGTCTAGGGTGCGCTCATTTAACCCTCCTCCTCCTCCTCCCCCTCACACTCTTCATCCTCCTCCCCAAATTCACTGTTGTACAGTCTCACAGATAAATCCCCTTGGTCTTCCGCATGGCTAGTTCATCCAATCGAGGGTCATGATTGGAAATAATAGTTGAAAATATGTGTACACCGGTTGGTTTCAAGATTTCAACCGTTAAAAACGCCGTTTTTTTGCACCACATTGAAATTACAGCATTTTGGCGTTTTAAACCGTTTTAAACGGCCGAAAATTACGATGGCGTTTTATACACCAGAATTTCAAAATTTCGGCCGTTTTTTTGCACCTTGACAGTGAGCATGTCATTGCACTGTAAGCATGTCATTGCACTGTAAGCATGTCATTGCACTGTAAGCATGTCATTGCACTGTAAGCATGTCATTGCACTGTAAGCATGTCATTGCACTGTAAGCATGTCATTGCACTGTATGCACGTCATTTCACTGTAAGCATGTCATTGCAATATAAGCATGTCATTGCACTGTAAGCATGTCATTGCACTGTAAGCCTGTCATTGCACTGTAAGCATGTCATTGCACTGTAAGCATGTCATTGCACAGTAAGCATGTCATTGCACTGTAAGCATGTCATTGCACTGTAAACATGTCATTGCACTGTAAGCATGTCATTGCACTGTAAGCATGTCATTGCACAGTAAGCATGTCATTGCACTGTAAGCATGTCATTGCACAGTAAACATGTCATTGCACTGTAAGCATGTCATTGCACAGTAAGCATGTCATTGCAATGTATGCACGTCATTGCACTGTAAGCATGTCATTGCACTGTAAGCATGTCATTGCACTGTAAGGATGTCATTGCACTGTAAGCATGTCATTGCACAGTAAGCATGTCATGTCAGACCTATATGATCTAGCCTGTGTAGGCTGTAGCGGGTTAGATTCTAAGGGGTACACAATTCTGGGGTTTCATATTTGTATCACACTCATTCCTTAGTCAATCATTCCTTGTTCTTTCACATGGTATAGAGCAGGTTCCCTAGTGGGAACGCTTCCTAGGGCCCACCGAAAATTCGACATTTTTTTTTCATGCCCGGAGCGCGCTTCAGTCCTGCCCGAGTCGCGCCCCGCGTCCCTGCCCTTAGTGGCCCCTTAGCCGCCCCCTCGCGGCCCCTCCCACGGCCCCTCGCGGCCCCTTAGCCGCTCCCTAGCGGCCCCACTCACGGCCCCTCGCGGCCCCTCTATCACGGCCCCTCGCGGCCCCTTAGCCGCTCCCTCGCGGCCCCTCTTACGGCCCCTAACGGCCCCTCTCACGGACCCTCGCGGCCCCCCCCGCGGCCCCTCGCGGCCCCTCTCGCGGCCCCTCCGCGGCCGTTTGCGGCCCCTCGCGGCCCCTCTCCCGGCCCCTCGCGGCCCCTTTCATGGCCCCTCGCGGCCCTGTCGCGGCCCCTCGCGGCCCCTCGTGGCCCCTCGCGGCTCGTCGCGGCCCCTCCACGGCTCCCTCGCGGCCCCGTCGCGGCTCCCTCG